GATGTTCCATTTAAATGGGAAAAAGGAACAACAAGATGCATTTAATGCCCTACGAAATGTGTTGGTAGAAGACACACTAGCATATTTTAATCATTCTGATAAGTTAAGGGTAGTAGCTGATGCAAGTCCAGTCGGGCTTGTGGCGGTGCTCCTTCAGCTCCAGGAAGGTGACTGGAGACCGATACGTTACGCTAGTAAAAGCCTTTCGCAGAGAGAGAGAAGGTACTCACAGACCGAAAAGGAAGCGTTAGGCCTAGTATGGGCAGTGGAGAAATTTAATATCCTTTTTAGAAGGGAATTTGAGCTGGTCACAGACCATAAGCCATTGGAAGTAATTTACTCGTCAAAATCCAGACCGAGTGCAAGAATCGAAAGATGGGTGTTGCGGTTGCAACCATACAATTTCAGAGTAATCTATAGACCTGGAAACAAGAACATAGCTGATTCTTTGTCACGTTTAATACAACAAAAGAAGGACGAACTGCCATTCGACGATACAGACGAGTATGTCAACTTTGGGTCAGTCAAAGCAATTCCCAAAGCTATGACAATGGATGACATCGGAGAAGCGGGTGCAAATGATGAGAAAATCCGTGATCTGTATGATGAGTGTGTTGCGACTGGGAGATGGGAAGGAAACAAGTGTCCAGAATATCGGCACGTGGCACATGGGTTGTGTGTAGTAGGAAAAGTAGTAATGAAGGGGACAAGAATCGTTGTACCAAAGAGTCTGAGGTGGACTATAATGGAGATTGGCCATGAGGGACACCCGTGAATTGAGACTCGAAAGAACGAACGAAAGTATGGTGGCCAAAAATAGACAAGGACGTTGAAGAGTTTGTAAAGAAATGTTCGGGCTGCCAGTTAGTAGGACAAGCAGAACCACCAGAACCTTTAATGAGTACCGAGCTTCCGGATGGTCCATGGAGATCGGTAGGAGTAGATTTTCTGGGACCCTTACCAACAGGGGATTACATTCTCGTCGTCGATTATTATAGTAGGTTCTATGAAATAGACATCATGAGAAGTACTACAACTGATGGAACTGTACGTTCGCTAGAAGTTATGTTTGCGCGGCATGGCTTACCGCAAGTCATCGTCAGTTACAGTGGCCCACAATTCATATCAGGAGAGTTTAGAGACTTCATGGAGGTCAATGGAATAAAGCATCAGAAGGTGACACCGAAATGGGCACAAGCAAATGGAGAGGTTGAACGTCAGAATAAATCAATCTTGAAGCGCATACTATGAAGAAAGATTGGAACTTACACGATATTTAGCTGTGTATATAACGACTCCTCATCCTTCAACAGGCAAGACACCTGCTGAATTGCTAATGGTAGGGCCTTAAGGACCAAATTACCAGAATTAGAGAGAGTGATTGTAGACGAGGAGGTCAAAGATAGAGATCAGTTGATGAAGTGGAAATCAAAGCAGTTGCGGACGTGAAACGTAACGCACGTCCAAGCGATGTTAGACCTGGAGATTGTGTTCTTCCTCGCCAGGAAGTGAGAGACAAGTTCTCGACAAAGTTTGAACCTAGAGTGTATGACGTAGTTTCTAAATATGGTAATCAAGTCACTATAAGTGATCAGAATGATGCAAACAGGCGTCGGAAATGAAATATTACTCAGGTGAAGAAGTTTTATGGTAGTAGACACAAACAGATGACGTCACAGTTGAGGATACGGCACTCAATGACTTAATGGAAACTGTACAATAGGAGGGTCCAACAACAAACAAGACCCTAAATCCGGAACCGCGAAGGGGGTATCCTCTGCGTATTAGGAGAAAACCGGATAGACTCGATTTATAAAGATGTCAAGAGTAGTAGTAGTGATTAAAAATGTTGTGTTATAATAGTTTGTAAAGATGTTGTTCAAGAGTAGTCGAAGTGATTTATGATGTTGTTATATTGGTTTAAAAAAAAATCATACACGCAGATACATTATAGTTGGTACTTATGTTAACTATCATTATAACATTGTGAAGTAGATAACAAAATAAAAACCAGCACTCATTTTTCTGAATAAGGTTTATTGTAATAACATAATTTGCAATAATAATGCATATTGGTTTGTTAGACTATTTACAATTTGTTTCAAAGACTTGCAGTATATGCTTGTAAAAGGTTTAATGGTTTTGAGTTAATTTTGGAATTGTTTGTTATGCTATTGTTGGATAGAGTAATCTGAAAAAAGGAAGGATGTAATGTACTCAAAGTTGTATAGCGCCCACTATTATTGTAAGAGCAGAGAAAGTTCGAGTTTGTTGTAGTTGTTGTTGAATATGGTGGATAATAAAGGCAACCAGTTTGGATTACTTAATGTGGTTTTGTTGTCATTTGTCTCAGTGAGTGAATGAGAGACATAACAACAGTGATTCTATATTTCAAAACTGTATTTGTTTATCTTTCAATGTTATATCACATACATTATTATGCACTCGTCAATTGTAGTCAAGCCCCCCCCCCCCGGACCCGGGCCATAGCAGAGGCACTAGCCGGGACTGAACAGGGGACGTACACCATAGCTGTGTCTTCGTTGTGCCCGGACGAGTATTTTTTTCTGCAGTACACATAAGCAAAATAGATTTCTTTTAGCCAATCAGAGCATAGGAAACCCACGATGACGTGAATACATAATTGTTCCCTACTGCTGCGATCACCAGACCTAGCGTAAGTACGGCCTAGTTCAGACTATGTTAGATTCCTACTAGTAACTAGGCCTGGCGTGCCACCGTGTTTAGCTTTTCTAAGCCGGGCTTTAATCGTTACAGGGGGTCTTAGCATTGGTTATCAATTGAAATTATTCCATTAAATGTCACTTATTATTATTCCGGGTTACTAGTTACACTTTTTCCTGTTTTTTTCCTTTTTTTGATTATCACCAATCTTCTGATTCCTTGACAACTGTTTTCCATTAAATTTGTATAATAACATCTCTTTCTCTTACTTTCCATGATTTTCTTTCCCTTTCTCTTTCCCCATAAAATAAATTGATTAAAATGACACGACAGAATATTAAACAAAATTAAAGTTAAACCTTCCACCAGAAAAAACTCAAAGCATGTTTCTGCGGGTGATTCTTTTTAGTTAAACTTTTCTAAAAATTTGTCGAACTTCAGCCCCAACCATGGTGGGGCTGAGGTTATTGGAGATTCTCACGCTGTACCAACCAATAAATGCTTCCCCTTGATTATGGAGGAAATGTGTTAAGAATGAAATTTCAATTTGTTAGATTTATTTATATTTATCTCTGAAATAAAACCATTAGGGTTTCTTTATTTAAATAAATCTTCATCGACTTACACTGAGCTTGTTCCTGTGTCACTGAGCTTGTTCCATAGTCGTAATAGATATTTTCTATTGACTATGGTGTCACCAAAGAGTATGGTGTCACGCACTATGAAACTTGTTTGCACGCCAACACCCCACCCCCGAAAAAATATAACCAATTTGAGGGCAGGGTTTCGAAGGCGCGGTGTCTACCCTCAGGAAAGGTCATCGTGATGACGAAAATGTGTTGCGTTTAGGAAAGAGTACAGGAGACCGAAAGTACAATTATAAAAGCATCAATTTTATTGATAATTACATTTGATATGCTGTAGAGCTAAAACAAGAGGTAGGGCCTACTGTACTGTACGAAACAGTACTTGAAATAGCAGTCGATTGTAATGCCAAAAAGTGAGGCCTTCTCTACTCCCAATTTGAACTAGGGCCTAGCTAAGCCTAGGCCTAGACGTAGCACTAGGCCTAGCCTAGTAGGTCCGTAGCCGTCGGTCCCACATATCGTAAATGATCATTTTTGTTTAATTTGTTCAATCATTAATTTACTATTATTACCGCCTTTACGACTGGTTACAAATGAATAAGCCATAAACAAGCAAGAAATTCATTTACGGAAATTGTTTTTGTAAAAAAAAAAAAAAAAAAAAAAAAAAAAAAAAAAAAAAAAAAAAAAAAAAAAAAAAGAAAAGAATTTTACTTGTGAATTTTTTTCTATAAGTGACAATAAAAGTATCTTGTGTCTTGTATAATCTCCATGGCTTGGCATGACAGTTCGTTTTCACGGCAACTGGTAGACCATGCTTGTTGTTTTGTTAACTGATCGTCTGGTTTTAAGAAGTTGATTTTTGTGTTTGGACCGAATAATACGTTCGGAATGCATGTATTATTATAAGTAATATAATAACTATGTTTTAAATAACGAAATCGTCGAAGAAATATCGTTTTAGCGTTCTCTCTTACTTAGCCTGGGAACTACTGTATAGGTTTAGCCTGTCATGTGTAGGAAATGATCAGAATGTTTGCTTCAAAACTGCCCATACATGTCCATACGCATGCCCAGAATGATTTAACTATCTGGGATTTTCCACATGAACTTGACAGTGTCTGTAAATCTGTACTGAACATGCGGTGAAAATAGGGTCGCTATAGCGAGGTGATACCGTATCTCCGCGGCTCGAGCCTAGCCTAGCCTTACGAAGATTAAATTTGTTTACAGTATATAAAAATTATGCACATTTTTTCTTCGCCAAACGGTATCTCAATTCGCTGTTGGCGAATGGCTAGTGTGAGCGTAGTGTTCATTTCCTTCCTTTCTTTCAATTGTTTTCCATTAAATTTGTATAATAGGCCTACCATCTCTTTTTTACCTTTCTTTTCCTTGATTTTCTTTTTGTTTCTCTTTCCTTTTGCCTTTTCCCATTTCATTGATCGCTTTCTTTTCCTTTCATTTTGTTTCCTACCTTTTCTGTTTCTTTCTTTTCTTTTCCCTTCTAATATCTTTACCTTCCTATTCTTTCCTTTCTATTTTTTGTTTTCTTCCCTCTTTCTTTCATTAAAATTCTGTTAATTTCTTTCCTTTCTTTTGTTTACTTCCGATTTTCTTTTTTTAACATTATGTTCATTTCCCTTCCCAATCCCTCCCATCCCTAGATGTAATTGAAGCATGTTTTTAAAACTGAGGCTTTATCATTTTATGACTTTTTTTTTTCAGATTCAAGCTCAGTTCTATTAAGGACATTGGATACTGGTAAGTGTGAGGCCCCTGCTGAGGCTGCCCATAGGCACAACGTAGTGACGAACCACATGTGTAGTGAATGCCTTCATGGATGGTTCGATTGATTTGTTTGAATGAGTTACAGTTATTAAAACAAGTTTACACAAAAAACCAAGTCAGGTCAATTTTTCATTTAGGCCTATTCCTCTCAATTTTAATGAACTTGGGACTTACTTGATCAGGCTCAGATACGTTATTCAGTCTCTTGAGGCACATATATTCAAGGTCAGATAAATGAATTTGTTGAAAGACAAAAATTTAGAGCTAGGCCTAGGGGCCTAGACTTCAAAGGCCAGAGGAGGACTTTTACGATTACCTAGTCAGCCTAAGTGAATTAGTCAGGGAGTGATATTTTTGTGATGATCAGTGTAGTCGGAAAGCAATTTGAGATCAGATTATTGAAGGCCTTATCAATACCACGATTGTTGAACGACTCCTTAGATCCCAAATTGGACCTGGCGAAAACAACTTCCGTAACAAAAGGGTTAGAAGCAGCCAAACATCAGAAAGATGAGGTCAACAGGCCTCAACTTCTTGCCCAGACTAGCAGCAGTGAGCACCGCTGCTGTGCATTGGTCCAGGTAAGAAAAAGCATAATACTACTTATGTTGGTAACTCACCTAGACATCCTACTAAGCATGATCAACAACAGTCAGATAGTGTATGTATTGAGGTAAACTTCATCAGTGCGGACATCAACATTGCCCTGCATCTGGCATTACTGTACTTCAGAAATGTGGACATTTCGCCACTGTCTGCTTAAGAACGCAAAATTGTGCGGTGCTTGTTAATACATGCAGTAAGGGAGACAACAATTCTAACTTTATCCATGCTCCACGAGCCACTGTGAGTATGACACACAGGCACCACAACATAGAGGTTCTAACCTTACCTGATTGTGGATCTGATATTTTCCCTGCATCGACTACATTACTTAAGCTTACGTCTACATCATTGACCAAGACATAGAGAACTTGACAGGAAACTAAGTTTTGTCAAGACAATCTACCACTCAATCCACGAGAACCGTTAATTCAGAAACTGCAGCCGTCCAGACCTTTCCAGCAAATTGCAGTTGATTTTGCCTTTGTGAATGGTAGAAATTACCTCATTATTGTAGATTGCTTGACTGACTGGTGGCCAATTATGGAAGACATGGGTGAGAATATAACGACTGCTGCGACAACTGACAGGCTTAAGCAACTCTCACATTATCGCGACCTAGCACTGTGACTGTACCGACCTGCGGTCACATACGACTGGAAGTAGGACCTGCCCTCTTGTCATTTATTGGTGAAAAGTAATAATGGCCACTTTAGCCAAATGATTACGACACGTGTGAGAGCGACTAAGATTAGACTGACGACCAGCACTGACCACAATAAATTTTTCAACATGTTGAAAACTCCGGGACCATGCACAACCTCTGCCTTGTCACGAGCAAGTTGCTCTTAGCTGCTATCGCACTATCACGACCTGGCCACGACGGTGTCGGTCGTGTACCGATCGCTGTGTAGGTCGTGATAATGTGAGAGTAGCTTTAGAGATCTGTTCTGTAATGTTGGTGTACCAGAAATCCTTTGGTGTGATGGAGGACCCCAATTTACCTCCAGAGATTTTAAACAGTTTTCTCATAACTAGCAAGTAACCATGAAACACAGCTCACCATACCATAACAATCCAACGGGAAAGCTGAAGCGACTGTCAAATCCATGAGAAAATTCATCTACTCTTGCAACAGACGGACACCGGACAAAGACCAACTTGCGAATGCACTCTTGCACTACCGCAGCATTCCATGTAGGAAAGATGGTTTATCTCCTGCTGTAAAGCTGTTTGGACGTCCCATACAGGACATGCTACCCACTCACCACCAAGCTTTTAAAGCTGATTACCAGAAAGATTGTAATTATGCCCAAGCAACCTTAAAAAAGTGGAATGAGAAGGATAAAGAGAACTTTGACCTTCATACCAAAGAACTATCAGATTTAAAGTTATCATGTGGATAAACTATTTAACATATATGGGACAGTAGTTGATGTTAAACCAAACAGGAGATATTTCATTAAAACATTGGGAGGAAGAGTTCTTGGCTTAATTATGCCACTTGATCAGCCTGTAAGGCATAGACCATTGCGTAATATTAAACCCCCCAAGAGATTAGTTGAAGATCCAAATTGGATCTAGGGGGAGGTTTAAGACCGCTAGGCCGCCCATAGGCACAATGTCAGATTGACGTAGCGACGAACCGCATGTCTTGTTGTGAATGCCTTCATGGTTCGATGTTGTTTTGTTCGAACAGTGAGCATGACATGATTCAACATACAGTATCTCATTACAATTGTCAATTTTTACCCAGTCAGTCACAGGCGAATGGGTACTGTTTTTTTTTTTCCATTCTTGTTCTGATTATTCTTCTTCATCTGATTCTTCTTTTTGGCAACATTTCAAAATGATAATAGTGCAAATAATTGGGCTGATTTCAATCAAGCTTGGTCCATTGAACTGGTGAGACTGCATACAATAGGTGTTCACATCTTGGGGTAAAAATTCACAACGCAGTTATTGCTATTTCTAATTATGATTACTATTATTATTACTACTACTACAAATGTTGTAGTTGTAATTACTATTATTACTGTTTTCTTTTTAAAGAATACTCAGGATATGATGGCTGGTACAACAATCCTTCTAATCCTAATTGGGGTGCTGCAGGTAAGATGTTTTTTGAAATTATTATCTATTTGCGCAATTTCACAGCAAATGGACACTTAAAGTTTCAAATGAAATATTTTTACATTCACACCTATGCTTTTATCTTTTGTTTTATAATTATTATAAATTGCACTGTGTTGCTTTGACTCAATTTACAGGTAAGGGTGCTAATATCTTTGTTATATTCAATATCAGTAAGTTGTATGCCTAATATGAAACAGATAATTTCAAACCACAAGACGCTGATGAAAAAAGAAACAACTGATTTGACCGCACAAACTAATTGTAATAGCAGGAGAAATGTAACATGCCCATTAGAAGGAAACTGCTTAACCAAAGGAGTTATATACCAAGCGACAGTTACCAGATATGACGACCAAACCCAAGAAACAGAGCACACATTCAAAACCAGATGCAACGTATAGGAACAAGACCTAAAAAAATGCTACAACTCTTTAGCCAATATATATGGACCCTTAAAGATAACTCTATCCTGTACTCGTTAAAATGGAAAATCCTAGCCAAATTTAAGCCATACTCTCCAGCCCAAGAAAAATGTAATCTATGCCTGATGGAAAAGTATTTCATAACCAAGATTAGGCACATTGAATAACAGAAATGAATTGGTAACTTTATGTAGACACAGAAAAAAACATCTATTGTGTAACAACTAAGCAATATTAACACCTCAGCTAAACAATGGTAGGAACCATAGTACTGACTACTCACTATGTATTTGTACCTGATGAGTGTTGGCAGCTTTTGACAGCTGTCCATACGAAACAAACTTGTAGTAATAAATGCTTATGGAAAAGTTTGTCTACTTTGTTTGTTTTATATATATATATACATACTGTCTCTTATACACATCTATATTAAACCCCCCAAGAGATTAGTTGAAGATCCAAATTGGATCTAGGGGGAGGTTTAAGACCGCTAGGCCGCCCATAGGCACAATGTCAGATTGACGTAGCGACGAACCGCATGTCTTGTTGTGAATGCCTTCATGGTTCGATGTTGTTTTGTTCGAACAGTGAGCATGACATGATTCAACATACAGTATCTCATTACAATTGTCAATTTTTACCCAGTCAGTCACAGGCGAATGGGTACTGTTTTTTTTTTTCCATTCTTGTTCTGATTATTCTTCTTCATCTGATTCTTCTTTTTGGCAACATTTCAAAATGATAATAGTGCAAATAATTGGGCTGATTTCAATCAAGCTTGGTCCATTGAACTGGTGAGACTGCATACAATAGGTGTTCACATCTTGGGGTAAAAATTCACAACGCAGTTATTGCTATTTCTAATTATGATTACTATTATTATTACTACTACTACAAATGTTGTAGTTGTAATTACTATTATTACTGTTTTCTTTTTAAAGAATACTCAGGATATGATGGCTGGTACAACAATCCTTCTAATCCTAATTGGGGTGCTGCAGGTAAGATGTTTTTTGAAATTATTATCTATTTGCGCAATTTCACAGCAAATGGACACTTAAAGTTTCAAATGAAATATTTTTACATTCACACCTATGCTTTTATCTTTTGTTTTATAATTATTATAAATTGCACTGTGTTGCTT